AAAAAAGCGAGAAGACAAGAAACACACTTTTTGAGCTCGAAATATAAACGAGCCGAACATGACAAAACCAGACTCAACTCGTGTTCGGCTCGTTTACACCCTACGTACCATACACATTTTATAAATCATAAATACAAAATAATATATATATATATATATAGTGCTAATAATGAGCTAAATTCGATCGAACAAAGGTCTTTATATGTTCGGGTCATTAAAAAATCAAGCTCAAAATATCTATTTATATTCGGCTTGCTTAATGGATGAACTGTACATGGACCTTTTTAATGAGCTGAACAAAAACTATTCACAAACAAGGTATCTAACAACCCTAGGTGCATTTTGTTGTTGGAGGGAGGAGTTTGCAGAATATTTATTAATCTACCTAATTAGGCGATAATGGGGCATGAGTTTTATATAATTTTTGGTGGGGCAAATATTTTTCTAATAGAAGAAATATATATTTTTATATGCTGTTTTACATTTATGTCAACTCATGAAATATTAATTATTTATTTATCTGAATAGGTTAAGATCGCCCACTCCTGTCTTCGTGATTTCGAGCATTATCATGACACGTCTATTTCATATAAATATTTATGTACTTGTTCATTTGGTCATCCAAATATTATATATATATATTTATCCATATTATTTCATGCCATTGTTAAAATCAGACGGGTGATACCGGTGTTGAACAGAGAGTTAAACCATATGATATTATAAATATAAAAACTAATTAAAAAGAACTTAAATAATATAATAATAATATAGATATTTTGGGCTCTATTTATAAATAAGTCGAATATAAATAAATATTTATTCTTTCTTATTTATATTAAAATAATTAAATAATTTAATAGTAATATCTTTTTATATTAATTTTTAATATATATTAAACAAATGTTTTTTTTTAATTTTTAAAAATTATTTGAGTGATATATTTATAGAAGAAATACTAGTTTAGGTGTTAGATATTTAATAAATAAGATTTGAGTGACATGTTCCTATAAATTTGATACATTTAATTTATTCCCGTTGCGATAGAATTTAATAGTTTATTGTGGCATGCATAAAAATGCTACCTATCGTTTATCCCACATCAATATTTTTAGCTTAAAAAATTTTATGTACCTCTATAAAATGAAGACTTAACTGTGCAGCATTTTAGCCATGAAATTTCAAATCTTTGATAACTTCAATTTTATAATTTAAATATTCATGAAGCTTCAAAAAAATTAAAAAAAAATATGTATATATATATATATACATATCTATAAAGTTCAAGGTTGGATAGCTGGTTTAGGCCGGTACCAGCCCGTCCAATATAAGAGTGGTTTTTAGCCCGTCTAGAATCGGATCATCAATGGCATTCAACGTTGAACCCGGTTGAACCGTCCGGTTCACTGATTACAATTGAAAATAGTATTTTTATTAGTTTTCAAAATTATTTTTATTTAAAACAGTTTCAGTGGAATAAATAGTTTAAAAAAAAACCAAAAATAGATTCATTTTTCATAATAAAAATTAAAAAGACTATTAATGAAGGGTGATTTACGAAAAAAACATATCAGACAAATAATACTAATTGCAGGAAGCTACTGCGCTTAAAAATGGCCACCTTCTTCCTCGGCCGAAAAACCACAGAGCAACTAAGAAAGTGGAAAAATAAGAGCGGAGCGGAAGGAGTACAGCGTCAAGACTCCTCCTTTAACTGGTTTCTTCTCCTCATCTTTCTTCACTCGTCTCTTCTTCTTTATTCCACAGAAAAATCCAAATTCACAACCGTTGATCCCCTGCTTTCTGCTCGCGATCCGCGAGATCCTCACCTCTTCATCATCTCTTCTCCCCTCATCTCTATTCCACCTCTTAATGATCTCCCCAGATCTTTGATTCCATCTCGGGGCGACGCAGCAAGAGATCTTTCTGCGAGCCTTCAAGCTGTTTGAGGAAATGTCTCTGTACGGCGAGAACGGAAAAGCTCCGGCTGAGTTGGATTCGATGCAGGAGAGATTGCGTTATGCGCTAACTCTAGAAAGCAATAAACCCGATTGCAATGACTTCCACACACACAGTACCACTTTATCCCCTCTCCGTATCCTGCCCAGTGCCAGCGCTAGCTCGAGCTCCTCTGAATGTATCGCTAATGGCATCGCTGGCCGGAGAACCCGCTCCGGCGAGCACATGGTCGGCGTGGAGACCTCGAAGGCCGCCTTAGGTGCTAGAAGCACGAAACCTGGGCACCGTAGATCCGGCTCTGAGCCGCTTATCTACGCCGGTTTTAGAGGAGAAAGCAGCCCAGTGAGCTCGCCGGCGACCAATGTGCTTCCCGCCGGGAACATCTGCCCATCGGGGAAGATCGGGAGGTCCGGTATAATGAGCCGAAGCACGGCGGCAAGGAGCGATGTGCTTGGTGAGGGGCCGAGGAATTATGGGCATGGGAGCATTGTGCGAGGAGGAAGCGGTGGCTGTGTTAGTGCGACGCTGGGCGGTGAGGCGGCAACGGGGAGTGGCTTGGATCCGTTGACGAGGAGAGGGATGGTGAGTACGGATGCTGAGGAGGTGAGGAGAGCTGGGAATGAATTGTACAGAAGAGGGCGGTTTGAAGAGGCTTTGAGGCTCTATGATAGGGCGATAGTGATTTTCCCGGAGAGCGCTGCTTGCAAAAGTAACAGAGCGGCGGCTTTGATTGGTTTAGGGAGGCTGGGCGAGGCTTTGAAATGCTGTGAGGAGGCTGTGAAGCTGGATCCTTCTTTTGCAAGAGCGCACCACAGGTTGGCCTCGCTTCATATCAGGTGAGTTTTGTGCTGGTTGGTTGAAATTCAGGAAAAAAAATCAGTTTTTTTTTTTTTTTACTTCTGATGTTCTTGTAAATATTGGAGGTTAATCAAGTGATTGAATTGGTGCTTCATCTGTGGTGCTTGATCTGTAATGATATTTGAATGATAGAGAAGTATGCTTAAGTTAGAATTGTTGTGGATGAGCAGTTTTCAAGCCTTTGCTAAATGAGATTGTGGTATCATTCAATGTGTTCTAATTGAAATTTGGTTTGTTATGCTTTGTAATTTGTTGTGGAAGAAGGTTTCAAGATGTTTTATTGTTATTATTTTTAAATTCTTATTCATAAGTTTATAGCCTATCAATTTATAGAAAAATGCTGTGGTTCTCCTTTTGCTTCTGTAGGTACAATTAAGAGAGGCACTCTTAAATTTTTGACAATGATCTTAACTAAAGCTGAACTTTTTATGTGCTCTTTGCACTCTCTCTTCATTTAGTTCATGATTATCTGTCTATTTCTGTGTTCAAAAAATGATATTTTCTCAATTATCTTATCTGCATGAATTCTGAAACAAATATTTCTATAATGCAGATTTGGTCAGATTGAGAGTGCTGGAAAACACCTTTTTTGGCCTGGGCTACAGCCAGATAATGTTGAGCTGCAGAAGTTACAGGCAGTGGATATCCATATGAGAAGATGTGCAGAGGCTCGGAAAATTGGGGATTGGAAAATTGCATTAAAAGAGAGCAATGCTGCTATAGAAGCTGGAGCAGACTCTTTTTCTTTGGTAAGGCCTAAAAGTTTATAAAAATAGATTCTTTATAATATCTTATCATGTTAAGAACATTTAGTTTGCCAAATGGATGTCTTAGTTATCTGGAATTTCTAGCTTCTCACAGCAAAAGCAGAAGCCACCCTTAGGCTTCACCAACTTGAAGAGGCCGAATCAACTATTTCACAAGCATTAAAGCTTGAGATTTCTATACCTCCCCCTTCTCAAGCCAAGTTCTTTGGTCTGCTTTCCAGTTCTTATACCCACATGGTTAATGCACTAGTTGAAATGGCTTTAGGAAGGTGAGTTTTCTTTGAGGTCTATGTTTTGCATTTTGTAAAGTTATGATTGATTTAAGAATTTGAGATTGGTGTTTTACAGATTTGAGAATTCAGTTGCTTCTGCTGAGAAAGCTAGGCAGATTGATCCTGGAAATTTTGAAACAACAATGACTTTGAACAAGGTGAGATCCGTTGCAAGAGCTCGTACCCGAGGGAACGAGCTCTTCAATGCTGGAAAGTTTGAAGAAGCCTGCTTGGCTTATGGGGAAGGACTTAAGCATGATCCCTCCAATCCTATTCTATATTGCAATAGAGCAACGTGCATGGCAAATCTTGGGCTGTGGGAGAATTCTGTTAAGGATTGCAGCGAAGCCCTCAGGATTTATCCCAATCATACGAAGGCTCGTCTAAGACGTGCAGCCTCCAACGGTAAGGTGAATCACAAATTACCTTCATTTTCATAGTCATGTATTTTTGGCTTTGGGATGCAGGAATTGATACCATTTCACCTTGGGGCATTTACACACATAACTCCCAATTTCTATGTATTTACATATCTAACGCTTAAATTTTACTTTTTTACATTAGTACCATCCAATTCTTTCATATCATATAAAAAATACCACTATTTTAGCTTTTAAAAAGTGAAATACACCTTTTCATATATGTAAAAATTGAAGTTTGGGTGTTAGATATGTAAATACATAAGGGTGTTAGATAGTTAGATATGTAAATACATAAGAATTGAGTGTTATGTATTTGAAAATTCCTTTCATCTTTTCCTGGTTTTTAGCTTGAGCGCTGGGCTGAATCGGTGAAAGATTATGAGGTTTTGAGGAGGGAGCTTCCAGGAGATGGCGATGTGGCAGAAGCTCTTCTCCATGCACAAGTATCGCTAAAAGCATTACGTGGAAACGATGTATCTTATTTGACATATGGAGGTGAAGTTGGGGTGATTACTGGACTGGAACAGTTCAACAATTCCGTATATTCCCATGGTAATATTAATGTCTTTTGATTTAGAAAATTATTGAAGCACCTTTTTCTTTCTCGGCTCGAAAGTGGTTTTTTCTTCTGTTTCAATAGCTGCCATAATATTAATTTGTTATATATTTAGCCTGCTAATGCATTTCCATTGTATTCACCTCTTTATTCTTTTGTGATTTCATTTCCATTTGGGCCGGTGCACCCTTGTACCCCCGAAAAATTTTTCTATACCTTGTGCCTCAGCATTGCACCAACAACGTGCCAATGACGTTTCTGTAGTGCCCTAGTGCTCGGAAGATAGCCGCCGCACTTAGTCCAATTTTAAAACTCGAGTGCACGACATTGCTGCTCCCAGAAGTCAGCGTCTCAATTCCCATTGAATTTTGGTTTTGTTGAAAATTGTTGATTTTGATTTTTGTGTTTCTATAAACAAATTTATAGTATAAAGTCTATAGGTTTAATATTTTTGTGAAGATTGTGTTTATTACAAATAAAAGTAAGCTATGTTTTTTAAAAGTAGGGGGGGTGCACCCTTGTACCCCCGAAAACCTTTTATGTACCTTGTGCCTCAATATTGTACCTGCAGCGTGCCAATGACGGTTCAGTAGTGCCCTAGTGCTCGGAAGATAGCCGCCACACTTAGTCCAATTTTAGAACTCGAGTGCACGACATTGCTGCTCCCAAAAGTCAGCGCCTCAATTCCCATTGAATTTTGGTTTTAGAGATTGAAATATGTTGATTTTGATTTTTGTCTTTCTATAAACAAATTTTATGGTATAAAGTCTATAGGTTTAATATTTTTGTGAAGATTGTGTTTATTACAAATAAAAGTAAGCTATTTTTTTTAAAAGTAGGTCAAAAGCAAATTCTTAAAAGTTGGAGCTAGTGCATATTGATATATGGGATCCTACTCTAGTTTAGTGTTAGAGGTTCTATTTATTTTATCATAATTATTGAAGACCACACTAGGAATGTATGAATGTATTTCCTAAAATTTAAAATTGATATATTTGATATGTTCTAGAAGTGCAAAATCATGATTGAGAATATGAGAAGTTTGAGGTTGAAGTGTCTGAAATCAGATGATGGTGTCGAGTATCATGATTAGAGGTTCAAGAGTTATTGTGTTTCAAAAAGAATTAAACATGTGTTTATCGTGCCAAGTACACCACATCAAAATGTTGTGGTTGAGCGCATAAATTTAACTATCATAAAGTTTGTCAAGGGTTGGAGGTTGCATTTAAGCTTACCAAAACAATATTTGGTAGAAGTTGTTAACATTATAGTTTATCTGATTAATCTTAATCCATCACTACTTTTGAATGAAGGCTTATATGAAGAAGCTTGAAGTGATAAAGAGGCAAATTTATCTCACTTGAAAATATTTGATTATTCATCATATGTTCATGTTGATGCATGATTCGATAGTAAGATCGATTCAAAATGTGTCATTTGCACTTTTATTGAATATGACTTAGATTAATTTAGTTATAAATCATAAGACTATCAGAATAAGAAATTAGGAGTAAGAATGTCACTTTCAATGAAATGAAAATGTACAAGGATATAAATAGAACGTAGTATCATTCACCATTTACTTCTAAAGATCCCTCCAACTATGTTGAGACAAAAGACACTAGTGATTAAGAAGATAAATAAATGAAATGTGCTCAATCTTATGAAACACAAGAAGTCTCTTAGACACTTATTATTGAAGTCCGGAGGTCCAACTAAATCTCGCGACTGACAGATGTATTCTCTTTATTGTACTATTTATTTCTAATTTATAATGTGAAAGCAAAGTGCGATGATGAAACTATTCAAGTGAATGACTCCAAGGAATGAGAGTTTGTCATGGATAATGAGATACAATCATTAATGTCAAATCAAATATGAGAATTTGCAAAACTAATAGATGATAAAAAAACACTACACGACAAGTCAATTTACCGACTAAAAGAAGATATAGATGGCGCCAAATGCTATAAGATGATGCTTCTTCTGAAGAATTTCAGTAAAAAAAGAGTTAACTACACTGAGATATTTTTTTTTTTTGTAGTGAAGGTGACAACTATAAAGTTACAATAAAAGATGATATAACACTTAAACTAAAGAAGAGTCTTAATAGTTTGAAGTAGAGGTAGTGATACATGAGATTTGAAAGATTTATGTCAAATAATAGGTACACTAAGGGTCTGTTTGGGGCAGCTGCAGCTTATCAAGCTTATCCTGATAATCTGGTGATAAACAGTTGATCCGAATAAACTGTCTGTTTGTTTGGTTTGTGCGTTTAGAGAATAACTGATTTTGAAAAAATGATTAATCTGCTCCTGATCTGGATAAGATGTAGTTATTTGGTTTGTGCATTTTGTAAACAACTTATTTGCGGATTTTTTTTGTTAAATAGAAAAATTAGAATTAAAATCCCCATATACCATTATTTGTGCAGCTAGGAGTCAACTCAAATTCAAATCATTTTGAGTCGAAGTCAATTCAAATCGAAATAATTTTGATTTTAATCATAGCCGAACTCATAAGAGCTCGACTAGAATCAAAACTACAAAGTGCCTTGTCCTGGTGAGAGAAAAGAACATCAGCTTGAGATTTTATACCATGGTGAAGAAACATAGTACAACAACAATGGCAAGATACACACATGAAAGCGCCCTAATAGAAATGGTGAAGCCAACAAGTGCGATAATATTCAAGTAAAAATTCACAAATTGGGGATATCTGCAATCCTTAAGAACAATGATAATCGAAAGAGGAAAAAAAACAGAAAAGATTTCTCGGGAAAATTACGAGATCGCCGACGTTGATGTGCCGAAGCTGCGTAGCACCGGCGAGCATCGAGCAAGTCGTCGTCTTCCCCGTACCCGACGTACATGTTACCAGAATGTTCGGCCTCGATCTACCGTCGTCGGCCATCGACGAGGAAATGACTTCGGAATAGGGAAGAAATCCTTACAGGAAAAACGATTCCACGGACCAACGATCAGAGAAGAAGGAAGAAACGATGGTCTCTCTCCGCAATTCAAAGAAAAGAAAGGAAGCTTGCAAAGAGGAGATGGCGAGTGGGAGAGGCAGAGGGGATGTCGAGGGAGACGAAAGATCTGACGGGAGGAGGTAGAGGAGATGTCGAAGCGAACGGGCTAGGGCAAAGAGAGCGAGGGGCAGGAATTGTCTTTCGCTCGTATGAAAAGCGGATCGCGGGGGGGACCCTGCATTCGACGTCTAATAGAAAGGTGGGAACGGAGTTTAGAAAACACCCTCATAATGTTTTTTTCCAAACAACACGTTTTTTTCCAAACAGCCGGTGGCGTTTTCAAAACATCATCGGTGTAAATAAACTCTCCCAAACACAACCTAAGTGTCAATCAGATCACTGCTGCTTCATTAAATATATTGATAATTGTTATATTGTTGTTCTCATGTATGTAAATGTTATGTTGATTGTAGTATCATATATGGAGAAGATTATGAACATGAATGAGCAAATTATCAATGGAGTTTAAAATGAAAGATTTAGGCCCAACTAATAAAATCATTGGTATGAGAATCAGTAGGGACAATAGGGCAGATACATTGAAGCTGTCTTAGACATAATATATTATAAAGGTCCTACATAATGAGACAAAACCAGTAAGCACTCCATTATTTAGTCACTTTAAACTATCTAAGAAAAAATCGCTTAAGTTTTGAGCTAAGCAAACACAGATGAAAACAACCCCATATGCATCAACTATTAGAAATTTGATCTATGTGATATATACAAGAACAAATATCCCACATGCATTGTGAGTGGTCAGTCGATATATGAATAATTCAGACAAACATCGTTGGGAAGCGGTGAAGTTGATTCTCATATATTTGAGAAAAACAATCAACAAAACACTTTAATTTGAAAGTGTAGAGATTAACCTACATGGATATGTAGATTTAGATGTTATAGGATATATTATGGTAGACAAAGTACACAATGTTATATCTTCACTTTGGGGAACACATGAGTTAGGTTTTTAAATTATAGAAGATTGTTGTTTTATCAATTATAGAAGCTGAGCATATTATATTGTTGTCACTGAGGCTAGAAAAGAATTGATTTGGTTGTAGAGTTTTATGACAAAATTTGGCAAGAGGCAATAAAATAGAAAGCTACACAATGATAATATGAGTGTCATCCATCTACCAAAGAATGTTGTATTTCATGCCATGATAAAGCATATTCAGCTAATGTATCATTTCATTCACTCACTCATAGATGATGGTCAATTATCTTTGGAGAAAATACACACAACTCAAAATTATGCAGACATATTAACTAAGACTGTGATAACTGAGAAACTGAAGCTATGCTTAGCTTCAATTGGAGTTTAAGAAGGTTGAGATTGGGATGAATCACACTTCATAAATATGAAAATTTTGCAGATTTAGAGAAGCAAGTTTGATTATAATCAATTTTCAAGTGGGAGATTGTTATTATGTGGAGCTTGATTGTTTGATCAATTTTCATCTCAATGCCCTCAATTAACATTATAAAACTCGACGATGAGTTTGCGGGGGCGTATGGAGGAGTGTTGACCTCTATATTGGCTCAGGGGCAACATTGTACTGACAACACCCTAGCGTCAGTCCAGTAGCCCCTTCGTGCTCGGATGATGGTGCCACCGCTCCTAGTCCAATTTCAGAAATTGAGAGCACGATACTGCAACGCCTTAGTGCTCATTTGAGCATTGCAACACCATCATTGCAGTGCTTCAATGCGAGTAACCCACTTTGAACAATTTTTTCTTTAAAATTTGGAGTTAAGAAGGTTGAGATTGGGATGAGTCACACTTCATAAATATGAAAATTTTGCAGATTTAGATAAGCGAGGTTGATTATAATCAATTTTCAAGTGGGAGATTGTTATTATGTGGAGCTTGATTGTTTGATCAATTTTCATCTCAATGCCCTCAATTAACATTATAAAACTCGACGATGAGTTTGCGGGGGCGTATGGAGGAGTGTG